ATTTTATATTAATAAGCATAGTTTATTGGACAAACTAGAGTAAAAGTCATGTTATTTGTAATACCCCAAGAGGTATAAAAGGACTTGGTTTTAGACCAAGTCAGAATCATGTTCATAACAATCTCTTAATTATTGATCTAATAATTAATATTTCTAATACACTGTAATAATAATATTATTATCGCTAATAAAACACATTACATATTTTACCCTGAAAGTAATAACCTTTAACTAATTAATAAACCACAAAGGGGAAACCTTTGCAACCCATAGCAGTTAACCAGTATCTTAACTATCAAGAGACATCTCAAGGGGACGCCTTTGGGATATAAATACATAGAACCTAGGGACCCTTTTATCTGAAAAGATAAAAGTTATATTTTTATTAATTTTTGACCGTAAGTCAGCAAGCAGGCTGTGTGTCATATATATATAAATAGTGGAAATTGACCATAAGTCAGTGAGTAGGCTGTGTGTCAAACAATAGAATCAACCGTAAGTCAGCAAGGAGGCTGTGTGTTGAGCTATAAATAACCTATTAAATAGGAAACTCGGATTGCACGCTCGCAATATATATTTTACAAAAAATTATTAACATTAAATTTTTCTCCTCTTCTGTTAAATTGCCATGAAATAGATCCACTTAACAATTGTTAATTTTATTTGCAACATGTGTCTTGAGTTTTTCACAAATTCTAGGTGATGCACAATATATTATAGATCATCCAATGATATTTTCACCAATTTTTTCAATTACTTGATCATAATTAATTTCTTTTTTTGTTTTTTTTTTTTTATGAACATTCAGAAAAATGTTGGGGTGAGTAAATGATATAGATTCCAGGCCTATAGGGGTTTTTATCCACAAGATATATGAGTTATATAAATCTTGATGTGCTTCCATGGTGTTCAGTTGATATGAATCATCACAAACAAAAATACTTCAATCTTTTTGATAAAATAATTTATAATTAATATTATTTTCTGTTAATGATTTATACCAATTTTTCATTTTCAAATGCTAAATATAAAAAATATTTTATTAATAAGTTAGTTTTACTAAACAATAAGAAGCTATCATTAAGCTAGTGAAAAATTTGCTTTAAATTAATTAAAATTATTTATTTATTTCGGAATGAGTAATTTCTACTATACATTGTAAATATTTACTAATTAATTTTGTTTGAAATTTTACAAAAAATTAAAGGGGTTTTGTGTTTACATGCAACAAAATTTCGGGATGCTGGAAAAGGACGGGGGACGGGCAGATGTGGCTTGAACCTGTTCCCTGTCCTTTCCACGTTTGGCCCTTTAATATTAGAAAAGGACAGGCAATGGTATGGGTGTTTTTCAAAATAATTAAAAAGGATGGGCAATTATGAGGGACGGGTGTGGCGCAGGTCAAGGCACAGCAACCCATCCCCCGTCCTTTTCTATTATTCATTGGGGAAATCTTGAAAAGGACGGATGAAAAAGGGATGGGTTACTGCGTCATTACTGCCCTTCCCATGTCCTTTTATATTATTTATGGGCAAATCTTGAAAAGGACAGGCAAACAAAGGACGGGTTACTGTGCCATTACCACTTTGTCCCACTGTTTTTTTTATTATTTTATGGAAAATATTATATACAGAAAGGTTCTTTTTATGGAATATACAGAACCCTACCAAAAATAGCAATTCATTCTATAAA